TATCCAATCCAACGACTACAAGCTGTGGTTGATTGTGAAGAACGGCTGCGGAGTCCCGATGAAGAAAGTCGGTGAAGTCAACGTCCCCAAAACCGAAGAGGAGTTCACCGACGAAGATTGCAAAAAGATGGAGCTCAACGCAAAGGCAATAAACATGATTTATTGCGGTGTTAATGCGGATGACTACCGCAAAATCTCGCGGTGTGAAACCGCAAAACAAATGTGGGAGAAAATGGAGGTCACCTACGAAGGAACCACGCTGGTTTGGGAGGCCAAAATCGACCATCTCACCCACGAGTACGAACTCTTCTCAATGAAGGAAAACGAGAAGATTGAGGAAATGTTTGAGAGGTTCTCTAACATCATTAATCCTCTCAATCTTCTCGGGAAGACTTACACCGACCGAGAACTTGTAAGAAAGGTGCTACGAAGCTTATCTCCAAAATGGCGTTCAAAGGTGGACGCAATTGAAGAAGGACGTGACTTCCAAACAACGACCTATGATGCTCTTCGAGGTAACCTCATTACCTATGAAACCACCCAACTCTCAAAAGTGGTTGAAGAGAAGAGCAAGAGGTCTATTGCTCTACCCGCAACAACATCATCCCACAACAATGTTGATGATGAAGATGATGACAGCGACGACACCGACCTCGGACTCTTCGTCCGAAAATTCAAGAAGATGATGCTCAAGAGGGGAGCCAAGAAGAACACTCCACCCAAGTGCTATGGGTGTGGTGAAATTGTGTCCAAAGCTCAAAAACGAGAAGGACAAGAGGGCACCGAAGAAGCAACGTGCCTACATTTCTTGGGAGAACGATGGGTCCGGGAGTGAAGACTCGGAAACGGAGGATGTGGCCAACCTATGTCTCATGGCCATTGAGGATGGTGAAACATCAAAAGAGGTAAGTGATCAAGAATCTTCTCCCAATGGTCCTTTAACTCTTAATGATGTTATTTGCATTGTAGAAGAACTTGTAGGAATGTTCAAAAAGGCTTCCAAAGAAAATAATGAAGTTAAACAAAAAATCCTGATTTTTGAAAAAGATGTAAAAGAACTCAAAAATATAAATCATAAACTTAAACCAGAAATTATCTCTCTTGGAAAAAGGCCACAAGAACCTTTATCTTCCTCTTCTACATGCTCTAGTTGTACATCACTAAAAGCTAAGGTTGCTAGTTTAGAGAGCAAATTGGGAAAGTTTAATAATGCTTCAAACACCTTAGATGAAATACTTAAGCAAAAAAGTTAGTAATGGTGAAGGACTTGGATATAAGAAAAACCAACCTAGAAAAACAACATTTGTTAAAGCTAGGGGGAATAAAAATGCTAGGATAAATAATCAAACTAGAAGAGCACATCCTAGCAAACCTAGAACTCATTACACTCAACCATATAGGATGAATAATCCAAACGTTATTTGCCATTATTGTAATAAGA